ATCGTTGTGAAAGATTAAATCTTTCCCAATTCATTATGTGTTTCAGATTTCTTACAAGATTTATAATTATAGGAAATGAATTATAGGGATTTCCTATTTATATTGATTTTACAGTTCTTGCCTTTTCTCAATCAAACTAAGCTCTGGCCTCATAATGCCATCCCATGGAAAATTGAGCAGGTTTCTGCTTTGTTTTCTACCTTGAGCTATTAAAATTGAACACTGACATTTTAAGGAACTTTGTCATTTAAAATGTACAAGCTTTCCCACAGCACAGAATCTTTCCTTAACATGCCTTGTGATTGGTGTGAAGTAACAATACTACCTCTGATCTAAGAGAGTGTGATGTCACTGGGTTCCCTGGGTAATGCCTTGGTCCCCAGAGGCTACCTCCTCCTCTTTGGAGAGCTGAGCTACTATGCCCAAAAGTTTTTCCAATGATTTACCTAGGATCCTACAGGAGAAGGTAAAGTTCTTACCAGCACAATATGTCATATTCATAATCTCAGTTTTTCTTCTATTGACTGTTTTATATCCTCTGTTGTAAGTACTTTCGAGGACATTTCAGAATATGTCCTCTGCCACTTTGGGGCAGATCTGCTTTTTCTCTTGAAAAAAAAAAAGAACAAAAAAACATAGGCAAACATAAGTGGTTACTGAAATTAAAAAGTAAAGCCAGCAGTAAATGAAAACAGGAGGTTGTTAGATACATAAACTTTCCAGTCCTTTCTGAAAAGAGACAAGTCTTTAAGGAGGTAAATACATGGTATACTTCATTTTGAATCTAGCTGCCAACACTGAGTAAAACATCAAAATGTTTATGTGTTCGGTTTCTTAAAACTTGATTTTCTTATTTTCTTTGTTTCTCTTGCATATGGAACGTTCTAGTGTTTCATAATGATCCACATAAGCACTTTCTGTCATGTTTTCAAGCCCAATCATGTTATCTCAAATCTGACAGGATCTGAAAACTAATCAGTGCACATTTCCTGTACAGGGAGGAATAGCAAACATGAGACGAGGGAAGACTTTTTATATTCATTTTTTTTTTCTAGGAAATGATTTCACTATAACAATAAATAATGTTGTAATCCTCTTTGTTTTTATTTGTTCATTTACAGTGATTCTGTATCTTTTAGAGAGTTATATGTGGAGGTTTTATTTCCTTGCACTAGGTTGACTGCTTTTTCTTGAGTTGAGTGTGACTCTCCATCGTCAGCAGCTATTAGCTTCGTCAGTGTATTTCAGGCTTATTTAAGTTTTAGGATTCATATTGTGTGACTTTTCCTCCCAGCATCACATTAACTGTTTCAAAGCAACGTGCCAGTGAAGCGTTGTGGACATGTTTCTTGCTTGTGTTATTCTCTCTTGTGGACCTCAGACTATTGATTCTGTTGGCCGTCTAGGGAAGATTTGTGATGTGAGACTGTAGTTTGGTGTTTTCCGGTCTTCAGAGGTAGTTTCTCTTTAGTGTGCATATCTGACCTTTGGGCATGTTGCATTAAAAGTTTTTTGAAGATTACATCTAAAAATGCGGATGAAGATATTTCTGTTTACCCTTTATTTAGATCGTAATCAACAAATTAAATCTGTTGGTTGCGTAGCCCTCAGCAGGCTCAGTACTACAATATGCTTGTAGTATCGAATTAAAAAAAAAAAGTCTCATTGTACAACTACATGTGAACAAAAGAAGCATTTAGTGCAGGTATTTTAAGAACCGTGGTAGGTAATGTCATACATTGAATAGGAGAGAGAATCAAGTGCTAGTATGTTAGGGATTTAGTAGGTAAAATAATTTCCCTGCTACAGATAACTTCAAGTTATTAAAAATTTTTGGTTTTTAATGTGGTTACTTATAATAGCTGATTCTCTCCACTTCTGTAACATACTATGTTCCCATCTCATAGTCAGGGATAAATGTATGTAATATTAATGATTAAAAATATTTTATGATTATAGGAAAGGTACTTGGTCATTATTTGGAAAATTTGGAAAATAGTGAACAGTCCAAATAAGGAAAATATTTCACTGTGCACATCATAGCCAATGTTAACATCTTAGCGTATTTTACAGTTTTTTCTGTGTTTATGTAACCAGGCACTCAACTTTTTCTGCCCATTCCCCGCCCCCCTCATTCTTAACTAAAAATTAGGAACTTACTGTGCATGCTATTTTATTACTTGTTTTCCCCCCACATAATATTTTGAGCTAAAAAAATTATTTAAATATTATTTTTTTAATGGATCTCGATGCTCAGTTGTTACAGCTGGACTAAAATCTTTATAATCAATATCCTGTTGTTGGATCAAATCTTATTTACACAAACCTCTGCTGTTTCTATCTTTTTGTTGCTTTAAATAATGCTGGCTGCATTTTTTTAGGTACAAATCCTTGTGTGCTTCTCTTCATCAAATTCCCTAGGATTAAATGCCTCGAAGTAAAATCGGCCAGGTGATAAACAGATTAACAGTAGTAAAGATGTATACACGCATACATACATATATTTATATGTAGTTACTTCCATAAATTTTAGTATGCTTGATTTGTATTCACTGTGTGGTTTAATTCATTCTTTGTAATATATGGTTCCACGAGTTTTGACAAATGCATGCAATCATGTTACCACCACAGTAATCAAGAAAGAGAATAGTTCCCTCACCTCAAAAAATTTCCTCCTGTGTCTCTTGACTACAAAGAATATTTATTTGTAATTTAGAAAATGTAAAGAAGCAAAAATAACTAGCAACTCCCCATAAGCCTTACCACTCTGCTATAACCTCTATTGACATTTTGCTGAATATTTTTCTGGTCTTTTTCTTTTTTCCCCTTCTGTACCCAAAAAAAAAAAAAAAAAAAAAGTAAAGAAAGATTATACCATTCTTCTTGTTTATTGTCTTTTTCTTTTCCTCGTATTTTATTTAACAATAAGCTTGGTTTTTGTTGTTTTTTTGCAGTTCTAAATAACCCTATCATGAACATCTTTGCATATTACTATAATTACATACGTAAGAAAAGTCCTAAAAATAGTGTTTAGATCTCAGTGACTATGTACATTTTTAAGCCTTATTACATTTTGTCAAATCGATTTTATGTTCTGAACTACAGTGTGTAGAAGAGTCTGCTTTTCTGTATCCTTGCCAATATTATTTTATATTTTTGTCATTTCGATAGATGAATAATGGTATTTCATTATTTTGATTTTCATTCCTTAATTTCTTGTGGGGTTGAGTTTTCTTTTTCCGTGTGTTCATTTTCAGTATTTTTGGTATGAATGGCCAGTCTAGGTCATTTGTTTATTTTTCTTCTGGCTTTTTTATAGGAGTGAAGGGTCCTGGGGTGGAGTAGAGGGCTCATTTTTTAAGGGCTCTATATGCTAGTAACATGAACTCTCACAGCTCCATGCTGGAATTTCTTTTCCTCTTTTTGTCATTTGCTTTTCATTGGGTTTAATGATTTTTTAATTTAACGAAGTGTCTCATAAGTTCATTCTTTTTCATTTTCTTTTTTGGGGGGCGGTGTCTGTTTTGAATTTAGAAAGATCTCTCTTTAGATTATCTAGTCATACATATTTTCTTCATACTTAGCTTTGTTAAACATTTTCTCCATTTACTTTTATAGTTCTGACAGACTTGTCAAGTTTTTACTCTGTGGTACCAAGGAGCTATAAATTATGTATTTGCATATGAATGTATTTTTATTGAATCTTAATATTGTATTTGTTTTTATATGCTTTCAAGCAGTACAAGATTTTCATCGAAATCTTCTATTTAAATTAACAGTCCAGTCACATTTTAAATGTGTCCCACATTAAGCAAATCCCTTGTCTTTCCTTATTGCCTTCTTTGGTTTGTTTTAGATAGATAGTATGCATCGATTTCTCTATGAGGTCAGGAAAACGCAGTACTTATATCATTAACATAACTGTTTGTTTGGTTTTAACATGCTGCAGGACAACGATGTCAAAGTAAGTAGCAAAACAATGACATGTAAGTGGGTTCTCTTAAACTGAGCAGATTCAGCAAGTCACCCTTATTCAGGTTGAGCCAGGTGACACTTGATCACCTCACAAAAAATTATGGTGTACCGCACAAGGATGGGAATGCCAAAATACATTCTTTTTTAATTTCTTAAAATTCCTAGTCAGGTGTGCATTCAGCAGTGACTGAACAAAAAATATGTTAAGAACTTTTCTACCTGGGGGTGATGTAGGGAGATCTCTTCCCTCCTGGAGAGAACGGGCTCTTAAACGTAATAAACAGGTTAGAAACAACAGTTTGAAAAAATGCATTTTTTTTTTAACTAATCTAGAAAATCATTCCATAAGTAACCATCTCTATCATTATGTTTTTCCAGAGTCAAAACTATTTTATTGCTTTTTATTTTATAGAAAAAGATCTTGTAAATTAGAAGTGGGATAACTGGGTTTTTAAGTTAATTATTTTTATTATTAAATTTTAATTATTCAAATAAACATGTATAGTAGTTTTTGCCTCCCTCTAAAGACAGCTTCTTCATAAAAAAGGAAAGAGACCAATACATATATTTATATGTGAGTTTCACTGGGTAATTTAAGTGTTCTCAGCATAAACTTTATGTGCAAAATGTTGTATAGCCATTTTGTTGTTGTTGTTCAAGAAAGGTTAATAATCATGTCTTATGCCCAGAATAAAACCAAAGTTTTATTGTGCAAAATATTAATCCTTGAAATTACTCTCTGAAAGAGTAGTTAAATAAAACTCTCTGTCTCTGCTATGTTATGATATATTTGGACAAAGTAGGACACAGCTGTTACAGTAAAAAAAACACACACAAACAATGTAGACTCATTCTTTACATTTAAATACAGCAATCATCATCTTATTAATGTCTTCTATGACAGAGACCTAATAGTTTGCAAAAATCTTCAGCTTTATATACTTATTTCTAATGTAATTTATACTTGACTTTTGCTTTGCTGTTGCTTTTTCTTGATATAGTGTATTCTTCACTTCTTTTTTTAGGCTAAGCAGCTGGAACAGAAAGATCGAATGATAAAGAAGCAGGATACATTCTACAAAGAGCAGCTGGCTAGACTGGAGGAGAGGGTATGACTATTTTTTGTCCTTGATTCTTCTGTTACCACATCAGCTTTCCCCATATATTTATTTAAGAATCAATAAATTAGAGCTATACCTGCTTTTCCTAGTTATAAAGTAGCCAGGAAGTGAAGAAACCGAACAGGTAGATCATTCTCACAAGGAATGTCCTTCCTACTTTGATAGTTTTGGGTTATGTTTTTGGTTCATCGATGCCTTTTACCTCTCACAAGTCTCCCTCACATATTTTTCCTTAAATATTTAGAAACTGCTTCACCTCCAGGTCATATAGTCAGGTGCTACTCTTAACTCTCCTAAACTTTGACTAAACTTGAGTACTTTCTAAGAAATGATAGTGTTTTTTTAAAGGCTCTATTGTCTTTGTGAAAACTCAGTTTCACAAAATTTGTGGCTAAGAAGCAGATGTCTCTTTCAAGCGTGGTGGACAGAAGCTGAATAGTGGGACTTAAGGGGAAGAGTTAGGAGGGGGAGCTGAGGTAGTTCCTCTAGTCAGCCTGGACCTAGAATCGGACAGAGATGCAGGCGAGGGAATTTAGGCTGAAACAAAATGTAAGAATGGGAGTTTGAGCATCTAATCAGTGCCCCTGTTCATTTATGCAGATTTGCCTATAATGATTTCATACATAGACCATGAGATTACAAAGCTAACTTTCTCTCAACCCAACATTTGATTTGTCTAGAATAGGATGTTTAATAAGAAAGTAGGTAAAATAAAAAATACATTATTAAGACCCGTTCAATAGTTCTTTGTATGTTGAATATGTTCAACTGTTTCTGTGTCTCTGAACTCAGTGCTGCTTCAGTATAGGGATCATTTTCTCATTTATTCACCAGATATTTACTTAAGTACCTAATATATGTCAGGCTCTGGTCTAGTGCCAGAGATATGCAATTGAAGAAAATGAACTAAACTTCTGAGCTCAAATTCAATTAAAACCCAGTGTGTGTGTGTGTGTTTGTGTGTTTGAGGAGCTCATGAAGTTTTTATTAAATCCACAGAAGTAAAAACCGTATTGTGAGGGGCTGGGGAATGGGGCTACCAAGGAATGGGAGCCAGGCCACCAGAGAGGTAGGACTTGCCAGGGGGCGGGGTGGGGAGGTGAAAGGACAGAGCTAGGCTGAGTTGGCTCGAGGGCCCAGCTTCAGGGACCATCACCAGGACTACTGGACAGCTCCTGGGCACTCAGGCCAGCACCAGGCAGGCTCAGTGGCAGGGGCTCCACCAGCACAGCAGAGAGAGGGGGCGTAAAGAGGGGAGGGAAAGCAAAGAATGTGCAGGAGTGTGTGTGTGTAAGAGAGAGAGAGACAGAGAGGGAGAGAGGGAGAGAGGGAGAGAGAAAGAGAGGGAGGGAGGGAGAGAGAGGGAGGGAGGGAAGGAGAGAGAGAGAGAAAGAGAGAGAGAGAGAGAGAGAGCGAGAGCGTGCGTGTGTGTGTTTGTAAAATATAGGAGACTGAGATTATATGGCAAACAATAAAGCAAGAGGAAAGTGAGTCCCAGGGCCAAGGAGTGTGGCTTTGGGGTCAGGTGGAGCGGTGGGGGACCTGTCTTGAGAGGGTGGCATACAGAAAGATGTCTGCAGTGATGGGGAAGCAAACCAGCCCCAAAGCCTTGAAGCAAGAGTGAGGTCCTTGGTGTGTTTAGAAAGGCCGGAGGGTTCGTGAGTAGGAGAGTATTCTGGCCGCTGTCTTTAGCAAGAACTGAAGCAATAGAGACCTAGTAAGAGGTTATAGCAATAATTCAGAAAAGGGATGATAAAGGCTTGGCTCAGGGTGCTAATCAGTGGAAGGAAGGAAATATGTTTGGCTATTTCAAAGGCAGAGCCAACCAGATTTGCTGATGGCTTGAACATGAGTAGAAGAAAGAAAACTAGGTCTGTGGCTCTTACAACTAGAAAGATGGGTTTTCCATAAGGGACTACTATTAAAATACGCATCTGGATGTGTGTGATGGAGGGAAACAGGAGTTTGATTTTGGATATGTTTAGTTTGGGATATTTCTTTAGACTTCCAAATGGAAATGTTAAATAAGCATAAAGTGAAATGGCTTAGAGCAGAAGTCAGCAAATTTTTTCTGTTAAGGGGCAGAAAGTAAATATTTTAGGCTTTGCATCCATGTATGGTTTCTGTCCCCGCCACTCAACTCTACCATTGCGATGTGAAAGCGGCCATAGCCAGTATATCAACAAACAAGTGTGATTGTGTTCCACTTCATGGATGCCGAAGTTTGAATTTCATAGAATACTCTTCTTTTGATATTTTTCCCCAATCATTTAAGAATATAACACCATTCTTAAGGCTGTTACTAAAACAGGTGTCGGCCTACAATGGACCGTGAGTTGTACTCTGCAGCACCCTGGTTTAGAGCACAGGCTCTGACATCAGAGGACTTGGATTCAGATCCCTGAACCAGCATTTACCTGCTGTGTAGCCTGGAGCATTTTACCGAAACTTTCCTCAGTTTTAAAAGGAGGACATAGCAGCACTTAACCTCGCTAATTTGTCAAATGAGCTCATTCGCATCAAAGCACCTAGCGTCCAGCACAGAGTAACCAACCACTCAGTCAGCGGTGTTTCTTATTTTACTTTTGTCCTTCCAGAGCGCTGTGCCTCTGTAGTTAGTCATCGTCAGCTGGATAAAACGGATGGTGGGGGCGGGGGGCGGAGGGAGTTTCGAAAAAAATGTCCCCAGCCCCTGCTTCCCCCCGACCCAATGATAGTTTTCTTTGCTATCGGGGATGACTACTATTCTTTTTTTTTTTTTTTTTTAATTTTGTATGTGTACCTTCTAAATTCATCATTGACCACTGTTAGGAACAAGAAAAGGCACTAAAAAATATTCACCTATTTCTTGTAAATTCACCAATTTGATAGAAATAATTTAGAGATTGGTGTGAGGAATCTCCGTAGATTAAACTGGTCTGCTTAACTGCGAACTATTGCTTTTGGCCTCAGGGTAGAAGCAGATGGGTATGATGTGATGATAGCGAATTATTGCGATTCATGTCTTATTTAGGGAGAAATATACATATTTTTTCCTTTTTGAAGATAAGACTGGAAAGTAGTTAATTAGGAATTTTAACTGAAAGCTTGGAGAAGCACCAGTGAGCTTAGAAGAATCCTGAAGTGGAATAATCACACTACTACTAGTTAATACTTAATAATTCCATATTTAATAACGTGGTAGAAAGACTTCTGGACTAGGAGTCGGGAGGCATGGCTTGGTCATCTAGTTATTTGTCAGTTCACCTAGTAATCTCTGTGATCTTCAGCTCTTCATCTGTAAAGTGAGGAGAATTCTGTTTCTTGCTCACCTTTGTGAGTTATTGGGCGGACCAGATAAGTTGATGTGTCTAAAAGCTCCTTGAAAATGGGAAAGAG